CTACCACAATCACCCTCAGTTTGGAACACCCTACCACAATCACCCTCAGTTTGGAACACCCTACCACAATCACCCTCAGTTTGGAACACCCTACCACAATCACCCTCAGTTTGGAACACCCTACCACAATCTTTTTTTTTTTTTTTTTTTTTTTTTTTTTTGAGATATATACAAGAGTTGTTACATTCTTGTACAGCCACTAGTACGCGTAGCGTTTCGGGCAAGTCCTTAATCCTATGGTCCCTGGAATACGATCCCCTGCCGCGAAGAATCGTTTTTTCATCCAAGTACACATTTTACTGTTGCGTTAAACAGAGGCTACAGTTAAGGAATTGCGCCCAGTAAATCCTCCCCGGCCAGGATACGAACCCATGACATAGCGCTCGCGGAACGCCAGGCGAGTGTCTTACCACTACACCACGGAGACTGTAAAAGTCTCTCACAATCACCCTCAGTTTGGAACACCTTACCCACAATCACCCTCAGTTTGTAACACCCTACCACAATCACCCTCAGTTTGGAACACCCTAACACGGAGACCAGTGTAAAGGGAACATCTGACACCCAAAATCCAGCCTCTGTCGTTAATCCCACACTTTTAACGCATTCGAATACATCGTTAAAATTCAAGAGCTTTCGTAATACCGAAGCCCTGGAAGACTTTTTTTTATCTTTATTTAAAAAAATACATATAAATCATATATCCATAAGTTTTACAAGGCTGACAATTTCTGAGACAAATTACCATCGGCCTCGATAGGTTTAGCGGGTTACTTAGATTCGAATGCTTCTAGGAAAGGGGAAAAAATTTGTCGCTCGATAAACCGTGAAAACGGCCTAAAAAAATTTAGCCACAGGCCAGCAGGTTGCCTCGTGATCAGCTCACCTCGTGTGGGCGCATGACGGCAGCCTTCAAGAGCTATTCACCGACTGGCTGTTTGTCCAGCGGTCTCTCAGTCGTCTTAGGGCGAGAGAGACTTTCTGGAGATCAGTGTGAGGCTTCACAAAGCAGGATGAGGGTATATTATGTTGTGCAATGCCATGGCATGAATGCTGAGTCAAGCTTTCACAAGCTTTGACGTCAAGCTTTGACGCTTTGGGCATCGTTGACATCATATTGGCGTCCCTCTCCGTGGCTCACTTAAACCCTTCTTCCTCTGTACACGTAACTGCATGAATGTCTCTATGATAGAAACCTCAGGCTTATATATTAATGTTATATAAGGGGTAATCCCCCAATACATGATTCTGACGAATTCAGGAATCCTAATCTTGCATGAATGACTGAAATCAAATTTATTTAGTAATCATCAACTGACCCATCAGAATCCCTTAAAAAATCTTAAATCTAAACCAAAACACAAAGTTTACTAAGTTCAATATTAAATGAATTCGCGTAGTTTAATGCGTAAATAAAATATTTGGAGTAAACTTTTGGAATAAGAAAAACACAGTACATAAGAAAGAGCTTTCGAAACGGAGACCAGTTTACTATTAGAGGTCAAACTCATTTAAATATGAAATTTTATATCACCACACATCCAACACCATCTCAAGGTGTGCTAAACCACTCAAACCTAATCTATCCCAACCTGGCCAAACCAATCCTAATCTAACCTTACGTAACCAAATCTAAACTCACGCCACATTAACCTAATTGGTTGACACAAGAACCAGACCCACGCAAGTTTCAGCAGAGTCAGTGGAGATTGGTGGAAATTGCTTAATAATGTGATGAAATGTCACAGATATTTTAATTGTGTTTTGTGTTTTTATAGACGAATTGATTGTTGTTATTGAGAATGGTCTCCTGTTGTGTTATGGTGAAGGGTCTCCTGTTGTGTTATGGTGAAGGATCTCCTGTTGTGTTATGGTGAAGGATCTGTTGTGTTATGGTGAAGGATCTCCTGTTGTGTTATGGTGAAGGGTCTCCTGTTGTGTTATGGTGAAGGGTCTCCTGTTGTGTTATGGTGAAGGGCCTCCTGTTGTGTTATGGTGAAGGGTCTCCTGTTGTGTTATGGTGAAGGATCTCCTGTTGTGTTATGGTGAAGGATCTGTTGTGTTATGGTGAAGGATCTCCTGTTGTGTTATGGTGAAGGATCTGTTGTGTTATGGTGAAGGATCTCCTGTTGTGTTATGGTGAAGGATCTGTTGTGTTATGGTGAAGGATCTCCTGTTGTGTTATGGTGAAGGGTCTCCTGTTGTGTTATGGTGAAGGGTCTCCTGTTGTGTTATGGTGAAGGGTCTCCTGTTGTGTTATGGTGAAGGGTCTCCTGTTGTGTTATGGTGAAGGATCTCCTGTTGTGTTATGGTGAAGGGTCTCCTGTTGTGTTATGGTGAAGGGTCTCCTGTTGTGTTATGGTGAAGGGTCTCCTGTTGTGTTATGGTGAAGGGTCTCCTGTTGTGTTATGGTGAAGGATCTCCTGTTGTATTATGGTGAAGGGTCTCCTGTTGTGTTATGGTGAAGGGTCTCCTGTTGTGTTATGGTGAAGGGTCTCCTGTTGTGTTATGGGGAAGGATCTCCTGTTGTGTTATGGTGAAGGGTCTCCTGTTGTATTATGGAGAAGGATCTCCTGTTGTGTTATGGTGAAGGATCTGTTGTGTTATGGTGAAGGGTCTCCTGTTGTGTTATGGTGAAGGGTCTCCTGTTGTGTTATGGTGAAGGGTCTCCTGTTGTGTTATGGAGAAGGATCTCCTGTTGTGTTATGGTGAAGGATCTGTTGTGTTATGGTGAAGGGTCTCCTGTTGTGTTATGGTGAAGGGTCTCCTGTTGTGTTATGGTGAAGGGTCTCCTGTTGTGTTATGGTGAAGGGTCTCCTGTTGTGTTATGGTGAAGGGTCTCCTGTTGTGTTATGGTGAAATGTCTACTGTTGTGTTATGGAGAAGGGTCTCCTGTTGTGTTATGGTGAAGGGTCTCCTGTTTGTTATGGTGAAGGGTCTTCTGTTGTGTTATGGAGAAGGGTCTCCTGTTTTGTTATGGAGAAGGGTCTCCTGTTGTATTATGGAGAAGGGTCTCCTGTTGTGTTATGGTGAAGGGTCTCCTGTTGTGTTATGGTGAAGGATCTCCTGTTGTGTTATGGTGAAGGGTCTCCTGTTGTGTTATGGTGAAGGATCTCCTGTTGTGTTATGGTGAAGGGTCTCCTGTTGTATTATGGTGAAGGGTCTTCTGTTGTGTTATGGTGAAGGGTCTTCTGTTGTGTTATGGTGAAGGGTCTCCTGTTGTGTTATGGTGAAGGGTCTCCTGTTGTGTTATGGTGAAGGGTCTCCTGTTGTGTTATGGTGAAGGGTCTCCTGTTGTGTTATGGTGAAATGTCTACTGTTGTATTATGGTGAAGGGTCTCCTGTTGTGTTATGGTGAAGGGTCTCCTGTTGGGTTATGGTGATGGGTCTCCTGTTGTGTTATGGTGAAGGGTCTCCTGTTGTGTTATTGTGAAGGGTCTCCTGTTGTGTTATGGTGAAGGGTCTCCTGTTGTGTTATGGTGAAGAGCCTCCTGTTGTGTTATTGTGAAGGATCTCCTGTTGTGTTATGGTGAAGGGTCTCCTGTTGTGTTATGGTGAAGGGTCTTCTGTTGTGTTATAGTGAAGGGTCTTCTGTTGTGTTATGGTGAAGGGTCTCCTATTGTGTTATGGTGAAGGGTCTTCTGTTGTGTTATGGTGAAGGGTCTTCTGTTGTGTTATGGTGAAGGGTCTCCTGATGTGTTATAGTGAAGGGTCTCCTATTGTGTTATGGTGAAGGGTCTCCTGTTGTGTTATGGTGAAGGGTCTCCTGTTGTGTTATAGTGAAGGGTCTCCTGTTGTGTTATGGAGAAGGGTCTCCTGTTGTGTTATGGTGAAATGTCTACTGTTGTATTATGGTGAAGGGTCTCCTGTTGTGTTATAGTGAAGGGTCTCCTGTTGTGTTATGGTGAAGGGTCTTCTGTTGTGTTATGGTGAAGGGTCTCCTGTTGTGTTATGGTGAAATGTCTACTGTTGTGTTATGGTGAAGGGTCTCCTGTTGTGTTATAGTGAAGGATCTCCTGTTTTGTTATAGTGAAGGGTCTCCTGTTGTGTTATGGTGAAATGTCTACTGTTGTATTATGGTGAAGGGTCTCCTGTTGTGTTATAGTGAAGGGTCTCCTGTTGTGTTATGGTGAAATGTCTACTGTTGTATTATGGTGAAGGGTCTCCTGTTGTGTTATAGTGAAGGATCTCCTGTTTTGTTATAGTGAAGGGTCTCCTGTTGTGTTATGGTGAAATGTCTACTGTTGTATTATGGTGAAGGGTCTCCTGTTTTGTTATAGTGAAGGGTCTCCTGTTGTGTTATGGTGAAATGTCTACTGTTGTATTATGGTGAAGGGTCTCCTGTTGTGTTATGGTGAAGGGTCTCCTTTTGTGTTATAGTGAAGGATCTCCTGTTGTGTTATAGTGAAGGGTCTCCTGTTGTGTTATGGTGAAGGGTCTCCTGTTGTGTTATAGTGAAGGGTCTCCTGTTGTGTTATGGTGAAGGGTCTCCTGTTGTGTTATGGTGAAATGTCTACTGTTGTGTTATGGTGAAGGGTCTTCTGTTGTGTTATGGTGAAGGGTCTCCTGTTGTGTTATGGTGAAATGTCTACTGTTGTGTTATAGTGAAATGTCTACTGTTGTGTTATGGTGAAGGGTCTCCTGTTGTGTTATGGTGAAATGTCTACTGTTGTGTTATGGTGAAGGGTCTCCTGTTGTGTTATGGTGAAGGATCTCCTGTTGTGTTTTTCTAGTCACTTGTTAAAAAAAATTATATGTTATCGCTCTGTATGTTTTCGTACAGTCGTGGATGTTTGGCCTCTTGTTTTGTAATTTAATTTCTCCTGATTTTATTTGTGATTTACACTTTTTCTGCATTTTTATTAAATTTGCCTTGGACTGTGCTGCAGTTTTGAACGCTGGTGATTCTCTGTGGATTTATTGAGTCCTTGAAAATATTGTGCATAGTAATTCCTTTATTTGTTGCAACTTCAATCACGAAAGTTGTCAGGTATTGGTGGATGCTGGTGGGGCCCTCTGATGTATTATTGTACAACCAACAGTTAAGTTTAGTGGTTAACGTTCGTGTGGAGGCCTACGGTAACGTTCGTGTGGAGGCCTACGGTAACGTTCGTGTGGAGGCCTACGATAACGTTCGTGTGGAGGCCTACGGTAACGTTCGTGTGGAGGCCTACGGTAACGTTCGTGTGGAGGCCTACGGTAACGTTCGTGTGGAGGCCTACGATAACGTTCGAGTGGAGGCCTACGGTAACGTTCGTGTGGAGGCCTACGGTAACGTTCGTGTGGAGGCCTACGGTAACGTTCGTGTGGAGGCCTACGGTAACGTTCGTGTGGAGGCCTACGGTAACGTTCGAGTGGAGGCCTACGGTAACGTTCGTGTGGAGGCCTACGGTAACGTTCGAGTGGAGGCCTACGATAACGTTCGTGTGGAGGCCTACGGTAACGTTCGTGTGGAGGCCTACGATAACGTTCGTGTGGAGGCCTACGGTAACGTTCGAGTGGAGGCCTACGGTAACGTTCGTGTGGAGGCCTACGGTAACGTTCGTGTGGAGGCCTACGGTAACGTTCGTGTGGAGGCCTACGGTAACGTTCGTGTGGAGGCCTACGATAACATTTGTGTGGAGTCCTACGATAACATTTGTGTGGAGGCCTACGATAACGTTCGCGTGGAGGCCTACGATAACGTTCGTGTGGAGGCCTACGATAACGTTCGTGTGGAGGCCTACGATAACGTTTGTGTGGAGGCCTACGATAACGTTTGTGTGGAGGCCTACGGTAACGTTTGTGTGGAGGCCTACGGTAACGTTTGTGTGGAGGCCTACGGTAACGTTTGTGTGGAGGCCTGAATTACTTGATGGTGAGGTAGAAGTGGGACCTGCATAAGTAGTGAGCAATATGTAATGAACATAAGTACCTAATGGAACAAAGGTACATAATGGAACAAAGGTACACATGGAACAAAGGTACATTGTGGAACAAAGGTACACATGGAACAAAGGTACATTGTGGAACAAAGGTACGCATGGAACAAAGGTACACATGGAACAAAGGTACATAATGGAACAAAGGTACATATGGAACAAAGGTACATTGTGGAACAAAGGTACACATGGAACAAAGGTACATAATGGAACAAAGGTACACATGTAACAAAGGTACATAATGGAAAAAAGGTACACATGGAACAAAGGTACATACTGGAACAAAGGTACATTGTGGAACAAAGGTACACATGGAACAAAGGTACATAATGGAACAAAGGTACATATTGAAACAAAGGTACATAATGGAACAAAGATACATATTGAAGAAAAGGTACAAAATGGAACAAGGGTACATAATGGAACATATGTACATAATGGAACAAAGTTAACATAATGGAACAAAGGTACATAATGGAATATAGGTACATAATGGAACAAAGGTACATAATGGAACGAAGGTGCATAATGGAACAAACGTACATAATTAAACAAAGGTACATAATGGAACAAAGATGCATAATGGAACAAAGGTGCATAATGGAACAAAGGTACATAATGGAACAAAGGAACACAATGGAAGATAGGTACATAATGGAACAAAGCTACATAATGGAACAAAGGTGCATAATGGAACAAAAGTACATAATGGAACAAAGGTACATAATGGAACATAGGTACACAATGGAACAAAGGGACATAATGGAACATAGATACATAATGGAACATGGATACATAATGGAACAAAGGTACATAATGGAATGAAGGTACATAATGAAACATAGGTACATAAGGGAACAAAGGTACAATGGAACATAGGTACATAATGGAACAAAGGTATATAATGGAACATAGGTACATAATGGAACAAAGGTATATAATGGAACATAGGTACATATTGAAACAAAGGTACATAATGGAGCATAGATACATAATGGAACAAAGGTACATAATGGAACAAATGTACATAATGGAACATAGGTACATAATAGAACAAAGGTACATATTGAAACAAAGGTACATAATGTAACATATGTACATAAGGGAACAAAGGTACTTAATATAACAAAGGGACATAATGGAACATAGGTTCCATTAGTGAACAGTTTTTTTTTAATAAATTACCCTAAGTGGCTATTGATAATTGTGACTCGCTCGCACAAGTGCTGAAGTAATTCACTAAAATAGTTTAGTCATTTAACGGTGATTGCATAAACCAATAGTGTTTACTAGCAAAACATTACTGATCTTGCGAGCTAGAATGAGGCTGTTACAATGGAAATTAAAGTAGTCATCTTTTGGGACCTGTAACTTTGAAAAGTCCTTAAATCAAGAGAAACATATATACCGAGATGTACACCAGATTACACTGCATGGCGTGTCCTCCTCCCCCTCGGCCTGTCGCAGTAGTGAAGATTGATGCGGCCGTAAGAGGAACCTCTGTCGATGTGGAGAGTAGAGTGTCACTGCCGATAACCAGAGGGTAATATCACTGTTGATAACCAGAGGGTAATATCACTGTTGATAACCAGAGGGTAATATCACTGTTGATAACCAGAGGGTAATATCACTGTTGATAACCAGAGGGTAATATCACTGTTGATAACCAGAGGGTAATATCACTGTTGATAACCTGAGGGTAATATCACTGTTGATAACCAGAGGGTAATATCACTGTTGATAACCTGAGGGTAATATCACTGTTGATAACCAGAGGGTAATATCACGGTTGATAACCAGAGGGTAATATCACTGTTGATAACCAGAGGGTAATATCCCTGTTGATAACCAGAGGGTAATATCACTGTTGATAACCAGAGGGTAATATCACTGTTGATAACCAGAGGGTAATATCACTGTTGATAACCAGAGGATAATATCACTGTCGATAACCAGAGGTTAATATCACTGCCGATAACCAGAGGGTAATATCACTGTTGATAACCTGAGGGTAATATCACTGTTGATAACCAGAGGGTAATGTCACTGCCGATAACCAGAGGGTAATATCACTGTTGATAACCAGAGGTTAATTTCACTGCCGATAACCAGAGGGCAATATCACTGTCGATAACGAGAGGGTAATATCACTGCCGATAACCAGAGGGAAGGGTCACTGTCGATAACAAGAGAACACAGTCACTGTCGGTAACCAGATAGCAGAGTCACTGTCGATAACCAGAGTCCAGAGTCACTGTCGATAACCAGAAAAGAGTCACTGTCGATAACCAGAGACTAGATTCACTGTCGATAACCAGAAAACAGAGTTACTGTCGATAACCAGAGGAGAGTCGTTGTCAATAACCAGAGAGGAAAGTCACTGTTGATAACCAGAGACTAGATTCACTGTCGATAACCAGAGAGGAGACTCACTGTCGATAACCAGAGGAGAGTCGCAAGCGGAACGAATGAGGAGAGTCCCCGATGACAACCAGAATGGATAGTCACAAGTACAGAGGAGAAGTTCCTTGTCATTATAAAGCAATTAGGTTAGTTTATTGACTATATCGAAGTAGCGTAAATTGAGACTAGAACCGTGCGCAGCACCTGAACAGGTGAGCTTATTAGGCCCTCCTGCTCAGGTGTGCACAGGTGTCTAGTCTCAAGGGGTTCTGGGGGATTCCCCAAGTGTGTGTGGCGCGCCGGCCACGCGTCACTTAAGCGAGGGTCATGTTGGAGTAGGGGTGGGTGGGTTATGTGGTGGTATGTGGTCATGTAGGGAGAGTAAAGGAAGAGGAATGTTGAAGAGAAGAGGAGAGGAATAGTAGTAGATGAATATGAATGAGTATGTACCGTAGAGTTAATCCTCTGTGTAGATAGAACGATGGAGGAGTATACCCTCACAGTATACCCAAAATTTGCCAGTGCAGGCTATTAAACACATGGCTCTGTATGACTAACCATCCTGCGAGATGGGGACTTGTATTACCACTGCTACCTTATTCAATCTTGTGTTGTTGATATCCTCAAAATACATCCGGAGTCTGCCTGTGCAGACCGCTTATCACATGCCTCTGTATGACTAACCATCCTGTGTGATGGGGATTTTTTAGCATCACCTAGTTAGCTTTTTTGACACACTGTACTCCACTTCATATAGTCTAGGGTAGCTGCACTAACGCAGATGTACCTCATATCTTAATAAAAAAAAAAAAAAAAAAAACGATGGAGGAATCGAAAACTTCTCTTGGAAGATCGACAGCAAGAACCTCATACTCCCAATTATAAATGACCTAATTGATGCACAGAGTAAAGGGTCTCGAATCTCCTTTGTATGGATACCTTCACACATAAATATAACCCATCATAATGAGACAGACATTGCAGCCAAATTAGCGTGTAACAAGTCTGAAGTTGAATTAGATCTAGGTATCCCCATCTCTGCTGTCAAAACTGTATTGGTCCAAACATTCAGATCTGATAGGAAAGAACTTACTGACTCCCAACAACCTGAAAGTACTAGTATAAAAAGCTCTGATTTGTTCAGATCTGAAAGCTACATCTATGGACAGCACAAAACGTCCACTAGACTGTGCGACACAGTGGTTGCAAAGATCAGGTTGGGTTACCGTTACCTGTGGTAGGTGACTGCAGGTGACGGGTCTCCCAATCCTGAGCACTCCAGTTGCAAACTCTGTGAGCAGGAACTACGGCATGATCTCCCGCACTACATCACTGAATGCCCAGTTATTAGACATTTCAGACCAGTTGGCATGAGGTACCTGGAGCTTTGCAATTACTTTATTCACTCTCGTATTCTTGAACATATCCTCACAGTATACCCAAAATTTGCCAGTGCAGGCTATTAAACACATGGCTCTGTATGACTAACCATCCTGCGAGATGGGGACTTGTATTACCACTGCTACCTTATTCAATCTTGTGTTGTTGATATCCTCAAAATGCATCCGGAGTCTGCCAGTGCAGACCGCTTATCACATGCCTCTGTATAACTAACCATCCTGTGTGATGGGGATTTTTTAGCATCACCTAGTTAGGTTTTTTTTTGACACACTGTACTCCACTTCATATAGTGTAGGGTAGCTGCACTAATGCAGATGTACCTAATGTGTTAAAAAAAAA